AATCACAACCGATCGGCTGCTATAGAGCCGCTGATCGGTTGTATGTGAAACAGCTGTAAAGAACGGGCGAGTTTTTTCTGCCCGGGCGCGCAGGAAAAAAATGCCTTCTGATGACAGCAAACCGCCCGTGTGAGTCTGCCGTCCGACCGTTTTTTCACAACGGGTGGACGGCAAGCGGTTAATAATCACCTCCACCTCCTGACCATGTGCGCGTGCTTTATTCTACGTAGTTGCCAGTATGGCCACTTGTGTCAGGTACACCTAATAAAGTGGCCACTCTGAAGATATAATGACAGGATGAAACGTATAGATGCCAGCCCCTTAAACAGACACTGGTCATTTAGAAAATTGTTATAGTCTTGTACCATAGATATAAGCCCATTTTACAGCACATCCATTCATCTGTATGTCATTCTCTGCGATTGTCATATTGGGGCAAGAACTCATAAAAAAAAGTGTCTACTGGGATATTAAAAACATCAACTGGGCTTCAAAACTGCTAAGCATGCTACCAGCAATTGCTTTATCTGCAAATGTTAAGATTGTGTTTAGAAAACATTGTGTACAACAATCAAGACTTTAATGGTCTTTGTAAGCACACTTTTTACTTGTTCCTGTAATCACAGTACTTGTCTGGGGCATCAGAAGGCTGAATCTACAGTGGAGGTCTTACCATGAGTTCTGCAAGTGGAACCAATGCTAGTATTACTTTATTATCCAAGCGACTTTGGATCTCCTGAACATGGCCTCTCCTCTGTGCCAAATCCCCCAGTACAGTGCCCAGGTACTCTTCACCCATCGTGATCTCCAGTCTCATTAGCGGTTCCAGTATCTGTTTTTCTGCCTTCTTCAAGGCCTACACAAAAATTGTACAAATTAGAAACAAATATTTATGTAAAATACTTTTGGGAAACATGAACCAATAATCTAACCCAACGTAATCTGACCTAAATATGCCAATGATACATGTTAGACATTTTGCTCATGGTAAATGTATAGAAGTGGCTCTACATACAGACAAAGTATGGACTGAGATCAGTGATTTCTACACACTAGTCTAATACTGGATACAGAACAATGCCTGAACCACAATGTCCACTTATCCACTGCTCATCCTTATAAGCCCAGAGATTAACATGGCTCTTCATCTTGTAGCCCTCAGACCGCTGATATTGTGCCTGCTGATGAGCGATAGGTCTAGGTAGAATCTTCCTTGGCCAGATTTTTTTTGCTAAGAAATGTAACAATGTACGTTGCGATGTAATTAAGCAGAATGTAGCATTTCAGCTCAAAAAATAGCCACACACCGCCGGATCTTCAAATAGTACATCCAATATTTATTTGATCCAAAATGCATACCAGACATGCTCCCCAATACAGCAAGATTCCTCTTACGCGTTTCACCGATTAGGCTTAATCGTAGACCTCACGAGGACTCTTGTTGTATTGGGGAGCATGTCTGTGGTTTGCACTTTTGGATTACAAATAAATATTGGATTTACTATTTGAAGATCCAGAGGTGTGCGGCTATTTTTTGACCTAATTGATTGAAGGTGAACACGCACTTGTTCTGCCTGCACCTGTGGGATCTCTGTGATGAGGATGCAGCAGTGAGATTTCTCTGAACTTTAGAATGTAGCGTTTACTTGGTTTTCAATCAGTACTCTTGCAACCTTAAAGACACAGAAGTATACTGTACACACCACACTGGGTGTATAAAGCTAGGTGCTATGTGCAGAGGGAGGCTGCAAAGTATACAAATCTTACCTTGCAGCATGCTGTCCCCTACACACAATGCCCAGCTTTCAGGGACTTGAGGGAGAGATGTGACCCAAGCTGTACAGTGCTCTGATCACATCACCAGCCCCCTTGTCACTATCCTCCATTCAGAAAATGTCTTGTATTTTTTTAAAGAATACAAGACATTCTGTGACAGGAGGAGGAGAGATGATGTCACATCCCCGCCCATCCTCCTCCTCCTCGTCACTGTATTTTTTTTTTTTTTTTAAATGGAGGATAGTGAAGAGGGGACGGGTAATGTGATGAGCGCACTGTACAGCTTGGGTTGAATCTCTCACTCTTCAGTGCCTAGAAGCTCGGCGTTGCGTGGAGGGGACGGTATGCGGCAAGGTTAGATATTTATACTTTGCAGTGGTCCTCTGCACATAACACACAGCTTTTTTTAATGATAATTTCCACATCCAGTGCAGTGTGTAAATGTCCATTTTGCCCAGAGTGTGGCTTTAAAATGTATTTATAGCCAAATATCTTTTTAGCCTATGGAAGAGTGTAGGGAAGGGTTAACACTTTTTAAGTTTACTTTTGCTGCTTGTGTCCCATTGAGAAGATTTCCCTTCAGTTTCTGGAGATGCAACAAGAAGTCTCTACAACGTCATCATATGAACTTGGATGGTGACACGGACAGTGTGTGCCTCAGCCTAGTAACAGTCCTTTGTCTACTATCATTCTCATGTAAGACATCTACCTTTTGCATGCAGCGTGAAACACAGGCAGACACCATCGTCACAGAGGTGCCAGGTAGTACATTTATTGAGTGCACCGTGACCCCAACATCCTCCAAAGGTGAACCAAGTAGAGGACCTGGGCAAAAATGAGAACATATCAGTTATTAGTATTACTAATAATAGAACATGAATACATCAGCAAAGGATGTGCTGATCCGCTTTACAGACCCCTTAACAGTCAAGTCTTAATTAATAAGAACAATTAACACCTCAGTGATTAAACTGCCCAATACTTTCATCATTTTGCCCTTTTTTGCACAGCAAAGTGCTTTTTGTCTTACTCATTGTAGAACTGTGGGGAGCATATTTGTGGGAATAGTGGATTGTTAAACTACTGGGACAGCCACATGTATGCCGCTTCTAGGACTTGCTTGCACTGAGCACATCACAGATGGATAGAATGTCTGTTCTCTGGTTTGTCTTTATTTGTATATAATTAAATAAATAATTACAAAAGACAAAAAAAAAGCGTTATAGGGGTTTTCCAAATTTAATGTAATAATGGAAACTTACAGCAACAATCAATGTCCTCCCTGGGCACTGCTGTCTGATGTCTGCTCCTACTAAAAGGCAGATCATCTTTTCCATTGAAACATTCCTGGAGGGCAGTGTCACATACAGGAGGACCAGTATTAGATTTCTGGTCAAAATGACAGGTTCACTTTAACCACTTCAGGGCTGCAATACATTAATAAATAATGCGGTCTTGAAGTGGTTATACCAAGATCATGGCTGCTGCAGCACAGTTTCTCACAGCCAGCGTCTGGATGCAACTTACAAGTGTTGTATGCGGAAGGGGAGTGTCTGCTCCCTTCTTCCCAGGTGCCAGCTATCTGCTGTCCCCCATGTGGGTCCGGTACTGACACAGCAGGTCTCTGCGCCTCGATCAGAGGGAGATCAGCACCACCAGTGTCTGATCTCCCCTCTGATCAATGAAACATGCATTTCATCACTTCTAATAGACCCTTAATGTCTCTATTAAGAGGACCGTTCACTGTATCTGCTATTACAAATGGGGCTTGTTAGCTCCCTATGTCATAGCAATAAAGTAAAGTGTAAAAAATAAAGCTCACATATAATAAACACTGGCCCCTACGTACATGCAGAAACACAAACACGTGTCAAGTACTCCTATATACGAAAACGATTGTGCCACCTATGTTACATATCGCCACAAACGTCAGAGTGAAAACAATAATTCTAGGGCCATCATTCACTGTTAAATCTACATTATTGATTAAAAAGGCTTTTAAAGCTTTGCCTATGGGCAATTTTGGGTGCTGTAGTTTTATACCACTTAGCAGGCGCATGCAATTTTAATGCTTGACATGCTTGGTATCTATTTACCCGACACAGCCCCATCTTTTCTATTTTACAAACATTGGATATTATATTTTGTTTCTGTGCACCAATACTCATTTTAGTGTATTTTATTTAAAAAACATATTGGGTTTGCTAAACATTTGCGCATAAAAAATTACAACTAGCATTTTTTTTCCTTCTACGGTATAGGGCCTCTGCTTTCACTAAATATATCAGTGTGTGGGTGTTTTAAGCTGTTTTCGAACCAAAAATTCTGATTTTATTGCGTGTGTGCAAAAATAAAGAAATTGCTCTGGATGGGAAGTAGATAATGATGGTCCCTGCAGCTGCTTTGAATTCCATTTCCTTTGTTTTGGGAACAAAGTGACATAATGCTTGGTATGAGGTAGCATGTCACGCGCTCAAATTCCTCCCACGTGATGGCGAAAATTGCTTGTTGATTGGTCGCTCAGACACCAGCCCCCCTTACACAGGGACGGTAAGAGAGACCTCAGTCCAGTGTAAGCTCCAAGTTGCAACAGGGAGATTAAAAGCAGCTGTAGGGACAGGAATCACTGACCCAAAGCAAGAAAGCACTTTGTCAGAACTCATAATATTTCTCTTGGATCAGTGACTGATAGGGTGAAAGCATTGAAGCTTTTGGATCAGCATTAGCAAGTTAGTTTGCAGAAAACCAGAGCACAGTATTACATTCCACCTCAATATCCACACTATCTATGTGAGGTTGGGAACTCAGAGGGCTGTTTTTTTACTACACATGGTTTAAGAACAAGCACATCAATGCATCTCTATTAATACAATACTGCACCTTCTCTCACCCGTTAGATAAGCACTTCGAATACCGTTTTCTATTGCCTCCTTATAGTCGTTCAATAAACTCTTCCGAAGACTCTCAGAGTATTCAATAACTGGGCAACCATCAGTCAAGGGTTTCACCTGCACCTCAGCTGTCACCTGGTGTCGGCTATCACTTATTGTTCTATCCAAGATTTCTAAAATGACAGAAAAGACTATTACCATCAGTTGTACACAGAAAGAGAATTGAGGCCTCGCATTCAGGAATCTGCCTGCTCGTTATAAAATTATCAATTGAATCCATATCAGCAGATCATTAAGCTAATTCTGCTAATGATCATCCGGCAGATATGCTGAAAACCGTTTTCAAGAGCAAACAGATCTACTCATATACAGGAAAGGCCACATGGGAAAATGATGCCATTGTTCTGGTTACTACTATTATGATCAGCATGACTGAAAGGTTGGCTTTGATGCTAATTGACTAACGAGAAATATGGTTGCAAACCTCTCATGAGAAAATGTAGGAGCCTATGGAACAGTACCTGATGCTTGGGAAGCACTCAGTATAGTTTCCCTGTATGCAATCTGAAGGGGTCCCAGATAGGTCTCCAGGCCGTACTCGCGTCGGATACGATCATGAATGATCTCAATGTGCAATTCTCCCATTCCACATAGGATCATCTGAAAACATTGTAAAAAAGAAGAAAAGGGACATGCATTCTATTATGTGAATACTGCGTAGAAGACGTAAGAAGAAAAATGCAGTGTAGTATCAAAACCTGGCGTTTCCAAACAGAACTTTTCAAAAAAAATAAGAAGAGCTGGTAAACATTCCGAATTCTTTCATCACATTAAAGCCCAACTGAACCTCCAGTTTATAATCAGGTAAATACATTCCATGTGCCTCAAAATGAAAGGTGTTCAATGCCTTACAGTTAGTTACAGTAGAAAAGCCTGTGCCCTGCCAGCAGCTGCAGAGTAAGGAAAACAGTAGCATCTCTGCAGAGGTCCAACATGCCCCCTAGGTGAGTCAGACCTAAAGCTTTGCCATCAATAAAGTTCATGCACTCTGCCGATTCTGGCTCTGACTTCGCAGGAGACATGTCAGACCTCTGCTATAGGACCACAGCTTTAACAGAGAGCAAGGGTCCTTCTCTGCAGATGCTGCCAGGCTCTTCTACTCCGACTTTCTACCTTTTATTTTGATGCACCAGGAAAGTTCCTAGCCATTTAAAACTAAAGGTTCAATTAGGCTTTACATAAAAGGAAGACAGTAGAAATAACTACAAAGTGGCACCACTTTCATTATCAGCCATGTTTTACCTTCTGTAGAATAGACATGTCAAAGATTTAAGGTTTCTGTGGGAAGTGCTACCTGGTGTAAAATATTTTGAACCCAATAGCAATAATATCGAAAAGTCGTTCTTCACTTCAAACCTCCACAGATTTTTCACAATCCTTGGAAGCGAATGCTTCTCTTTGTGCAGTTTTATTTTCTTCAGACCCTCCTAGCATGTCATTCCTAAGGCCCAATTCCCACTTATATGTTTAGGTGCGATTAGGGATTCCTGTGTCAGGAACTTGCGACTTCCTGCAGCAGGAATCCCTAATCTGCCATTTAGAAGCGGCAGCTGACACCAATTCAATTTGATTGGGTGACGGACCCTGCCTTTGAATGCCAGCACACCACATGTAATCGTATGTGATACAATTACCTGCAGTTAGGAATTAATCACTATCTTTGGACGCATCGATCGTGCTTCCAAGGGATAGCGATTGATTCCTAACCACGAGTAATCAGATCACATACTGTGTCGGCGTTCGAATGCAGCGGCGGTCACCCAATCAATAACTGGAATGGGCGACAGCTGCCGCTTGTAAATGGCAGTTTAGGGATTACTGCTGCAGGAAATCGCAAGTTATTGACAGGGATCCCTAATCTAACATATATAGGTGTGAATGGAGCCTAAAGCTATCAGTTGCCACAATCTGGTTCACAGACTAGATGGTGTGTTATTGAATAACATTTTTAAAGAGCCTTTCACTTGAGAAAATATTTTAGGAAACCAAAACTTGTATAAAAATGCATTCTCACTTGTCCTGAGTCAGGATCTATCTTCACTTTTAAGCTTGGATCCTCCAGCTGCAGACACTTCAGAGCATTTTCCAAATCTGGGTACAAACAAACAAAACGATGCTGAAACACAAGTCAAGACAGTGCTCTTCACCCTTTTCATTTTTGTGAATTTTAAAATCAGATCCAGTGTTTTACTAGTTTAGAAGTACCTGTCTGTTTGGCCACAGAGGGGGGTTCAATTGTACAAAAGAAGACTGGTTCGGGTATCTCCACACCTGCCAATACCAGATCCTCTTCAGGCTTCTTATCCATCTTGTCTTCTGCTCTCCCAGCCCTGCGAGAGGCAGCTGCTGCTGATGATTTAGAAGACACAATGGTGTCTCCAGTTGCAGTCTAACAGAACAAAGTCAAGCAACTGATTATTTCTTAACAGATAACTATAAAATATTATATACTATTATATACACATATAAGAAAAAAACAAATCTCTGCAGGATGTAGTTGTGTCTGCACACAACAGCATAGGGGCTTGGAGAAAACCAGAAGTAAAAACTGCCCGGCACTGCATATGGTAAGCCAGTGTAACAGACAGATATGCACTGTGTCAGAGGTTTGACATTGGGTATAATAGATAGGGGTGGGATAGGGGAACCTGTACAGGAATTGCAGTATGAAGGTACACCTGTACTTTAATGACTAAGTGACGTACATTTAAGCTCCGATTCCTGTGCATTTCCACCCTGAGCTGTAATCTTACACTATGCATTTAAGAGACTTATAGTGCATGCATGTGCATACACAGGAGAATAATTCATGCAGAGCAAAGCAATAAGCTCACTTAACTTCCATTTCCGCAACAGCACATACTATCCTCTTCTCTGCTTCCCTGTCTGTATGTCTGCTTAGAGTGAAGAAAAATACCCGCTACTTCTGTGATAGTGAGCATGATTCTTCCGTTCCTTGCATGTGAAACAGCACAAGTGCCTAGTGCAGCGGTTCTCAACCTGTGGGTCGCAAACCCGTCGGGGGTCGAATGACGATTTGCCAGGGGTCGCCCGGGAGTCTCCCGCTATTAGATAGCGCCTGCCGTCCGCCCGGGAGAGAAAAAAACACTTTCTCCAGGAAAGGTTTACTCTGCTCGATCGAGCAGAGTAAACCTTTCCCTGCAAACTTTTTTTTTTCCTGACATCGGGGGCCGCCTATCTATTGCACCCACCCTCTGCTGCTGCCAATCAGCAGGGGGGGACCGGAAGTTGTCCGTCAGGACACAAGTGCCTAGTGCAGCGGTTCTCAACCTGTGGGTCGCAAACCCGTCGGGGGTCGAATGACGATTTGCCAGGGGTCGCCCGGGAGTCTCCCGCTATTAGATAGCGCCTGCCGTCCGCCCGGGAGAGAAAAAAACACTTTCTCCAGGAAAGGTTTACTCTGCTCGATCGAGCAGAGTAAACCTTTCCCTGCAAACTTTTTTTTTTCCTGACATCGGGGGCCGCCTATCTATTGCACCCACCCTCTGCTGCTGCCAATCAGCAGAGGGGGACCTGAAGTTCTCCATCAGGTCCTCTTCTAGTGATTGACAGCAGCAGAGGGCGGGTGCAATTGCTAGTTTGCTATTAGCTATTGCAAAGTGAAATAGCCGATAGGAATCTAGCTATGCATTCCTATGGTGTTTTTTTGTTTTTATTCTGACGGCGTACGCCAGTGGTTCTCAACCTGTGGGTCGCTGTGTGATTTCTGCTGTGCTAGGCGAGAGTCCTCCTCAGCCCACTCCTAGCGCAGCAATGTTCTTTCTCCCACCACGCCGCCAGATGTAGCTGCAGCAGCCGCGTCATCCCTAAATTTTACCGTTGGGGGTCACCACAACTTGGCAAATGTTACCAAGGGGTCCCGGCCCTAGAAAGGTTGAGAACCACTGGCCTAGTGAAAGACATAACAGTCACATGGAAGAAGGAGAGCACGTTTGAGCTGATGGAGGGCTTCCGCTTTTCAATCCCAGTGGCTAAACAGAACAGCCCGGGAGTGAAGGGAAGATAAATGCATTGCTGCTTGGGAGGGGGGAAATTAAGTGAACCTGTTCCTTTACCCCACATGCTGAGCCCCTACCTGCTAGCTCTACATGGTGGTAAACATTCATATTTTCCTGACCCGAATAATTGCACACCTTCGGTCTGCCAATTGCTAATGTGTACATCTAAGGTTAGTAATGACCACACCAACTGTGAGGAGTCATTCATAAGGATATTCCAGCTTACAGTGAAAGGCACTTTTTATTTTATATTCCTCGGTTATGCTCTTGTATGTCTTTATGAAAGGTCTGTTTTAATGGCAGCTATATTACCAGTCTCAAGTCAAAAAGGTAATTGTGGCTTTTTAGAGCACAGAGTTGTGAAAGTAAATCTATATTTTTGTATACCCATTTTTTTTAAAGAATAAAGTTTATTACAATTTTCACATAAATACACAGGAAAGTGTATCTGGGTGAGAGGCATGCCCATTCCCCACAGAAGGGTAGTAGTTACATATCTAGATATTAATAATATCATATAGTACAAAGCATGTTGAATATTGCATTCAGAGTTCAGCTAAGTGTTGGTCAGTTACATTCAAAGTTTATAACCCCAGTGGTGATTTGGTCACCCCTGCTACTACTCGCACACAACCAGACACAAGGCATAAAGGGAACTTAGGGGGTAGAAGGAAAGAAAAACCTTGCTGTTCGTAATGGAAGTGATACGTAGGTCATAAAAAATACTGAAGCTGTGGGAAAGAAGAAAGATCATTCAAGTAGCACCCATGTAAGTGGGCTGTTAGTTCCTCTGTCTACATAAGGTGATTGAGTTCATGTACCCACTCCTGGACCTGTGGGGCTGTTGGTGACCTCCCGTGGCTAAGGATTAAGGCCCTGCCTGCAGAGGAGGCCTTTAGTTGCCATAGGGGACCCAGTCTGATATAGGGTTGAGAGTACAGTCTGAATTGTTTAAACACAGCTCTTCAAATGGAGTCAGACCTCTGAATACTTGTTCCATGGATCCAAGGTGTGTGTGAAAGAGTTTGAATTGCATATAATGAAGCCACCTGCCAGCTCGAGAATTAAGTGACAAGGGGAGGTAAAGAATGAGGAGGTGGGCAGTGGGAGGGCCAAATCCAAGGAAAAAATTTAACGGGGTAGTGTGCAGTTCAATGGATACCCATTATTCAGTGTGGGCATGGAAAAAACAATCCATAATATGACTTAATATAGTCACTGAGTAATAGAGTTTATATGTGGTAGTGTCATGTCTTTAGCACAATAGAAAACTAGCTCAGAGATAGAGATCAGGGATGACCTCAGACTATGAAAAGTATGAAATCCTGATAGGCAGCGTTTGATACAGATAAAGGTAACAAGGTTGTATGTACATCTTGTAGAAGGCCATCCCACTCAGCCAGGCATGCTTAGTAACCCAGGTCTCCAGCCTGCGTTGGGTGGACACTAGCAAAAGGTGTGAAATTACGGTCGAAAGTCTTATCTGTATTCGCGGTGATGTTGACCCCCAATTACTTGATTGAGTGAGATGTCCATCCTAAGGGTAAGATGGTTTGCAGGAACACACGGCCGTACACCGAAAGGGAAATGTCCAGGCACATTGTCTTCATGGCATTTATCTGAAAGTTGCTAAAGTGGCCAAACTGCTCAAGTTCTCCTAGTGAGGAGGGAAGGGCATTTCTCGGATTAGGAATACAGAGAAGCAAATTATTTGCAAAAAGACTTAATTTGTGGTGCTTGTCCCTTATCGTAATGCTCTTGATACAACAATTTGCTATTAGAGCATTGCGTAAGTGCGCCATAGCTGGGATATACAGTATGTGATTGATATATATATATATAAGACTACAAATCCCAGCAATAATGCATTATACAGCGCAATGCGGAATACCACCAGCTATAGAAGAGTACAACAAATCCCAGGAATACATTATACAGTGGTGCAATGCTGAATATCACTAGCTATAGAGGACTACAAAACTCAGCAATAGTACATTATACAGCGCAATGCAGAATACCACCAGCTATAATGTACTATTGCTGGGATTTGTTGTATTCCTCTATAGCTGGTGGTATTCTGCATTTTGCTGTATAATGTACTATTGCTGGGTTTTGTAGTCCTCTATAGCCGGTGCCATTCTGCAGTCATTGCTGTATAATTTGACACTTTTCATTCACTATATTGCAAGCCACACTTTTGTTTTCTTTTTTACTTCCACCGCTCCAAGCTTGCTCCTGTGATGGACTACACTCTCAATACAAACTAGTAGTCCATCACTGGAGCCTTTTTTTACAATTTATTTCATTTTTTTTATCCGATTAACCGATTAATCGAACTTAATAATCGGCTAACTAATCGATTTTGAAAATAATCGTTAGCTGCAGCTCTAATATATATACACACACACACACACACACACACACACTTACACATAAGTGGAGATAGTGGGCAACCTTGGTGGGTCCCATTATATATGGGCAGCAGAGCAGAAAGAAGGCCATTGACCGGAATCCTAGCGGTGGGGTGTGATGATAAGTCCAAAATTTTGATGATGAAAGGAGGACCAGAGCCTTTAGAACTCCCCAGTCTGGGCAGCCAAATACTTTTTTCTGCATCTAACTAAATAGACACAGAGGGAGTTTGAGCTAAAGTGAATAGATTTCAAGTGGAATTGTTTAAATGGCATTCTTGTATACCTGTTTTAATCCAACAGTTAAAGCAATATTGCCAGCAGACAAAGAAGAGATTTCAACTTGCTGATCGGCAAATGGCAGCAGCAATCGGCTCATCCTTTCCCTAAATAATGCAAAAAATACGTAAATGAAAATTTATGGAAGAACAGCCATCTGTCTATTTAAAAACCCTCCTCTCCATATAAACATTCATACAGTGCAAGAATTTGTAACACATATACATTTTAAACTGCTACCCACTATAAACAATACAAGGTATTAGCATACTTCATTGCAGATTGCTGCTCCCTTTGTTTACTGGAGTTTTATATAAAAATAGAGTCACTTTTCAGAAGTGAAAGTTGGATGATTTTGGGACAGAGTTTGTCAATCAAGGTAGTAAAGCAGCCACGTGCCTTTTTCATGGGCAACAGGAAGACAGTTTCTTTTTAAAGCTGCCATTTAGTTAGCATTACATTGGTAAAACAAATATATTGATGATTCATATTATTTTTCTCAAAATGTAAAGCTAACCATATTCGCATTATGCAATGATTAGCATTTTTGAATTGTGTAAGTTAAGAATTCGTTAAAAGAATACATACACTGCCATTCACAACTACGCTCAGTGCTTCTAAGCACTTTCTCCACCCAATGATGCAGCGGATATACTTTAGCAATTCAGCATGTTCTTATAGGTAGTAATACGTACATGCAGTTTTTGTTGATGTTATATACTGCAGACTGAGACTTCATCATTCCCGAGTATATCCGGACAAAGACCAAGGGTCCACGCTGCTTGTCATGTACAACCTTGAATGCCAGAGCACACAGGTCATCCTTGTACCAAGACCTTGAAAAGGAATTGTACACATCATGTAACCATACTTCTATTTGAAAGTAAGCCTTTGTGCAGTGACTTTTTTATAGTGCTCATCCTCCTATAACCTAGAAATTATTGTACCCTATACTACATGTCTGACAGCCTATTTCAGAACCAACTGGGAGAAAACCTACCACATGGCTATGGGAAACAGGATAAGATGTTGTCGTTGTACAGCTGGATGACAACAGCATCTAAACATGTTTAAGCCAACCCCCATTATTACATTATAGCCAGCAGAAGGTGGAAGTGCTTGTCCACTATGGGAATCAATGACTATTAGGTTATACAATATACTCACTTCACCTCCTCTACAAAATATTGCATAGTGAACTTACCCTTTAAGGCAACCTCTCTCAACCAGGGGCTTAGTGGAACTATAGGGTTTCTACAGATGTTGCTAGGGGAACCTTGACCAGGTTCTGCTACTCGCAAATGTAACTACTGACACCAGCAATATTTGTATCTATCTGTAAGGGGGGGAAGGCATTCTTTTCACTGACCACCAATGCAAAAAGCTTTATTCCGAATGACCAGCACTGTAATGCACTGTTAGCTATAGCTATATAGAGCTATTGCCGAGGGTTCCCCGATAACCAAAACTTATTTTAATGGTTCCCCTGTGTTACAAAAGCTGAGAACTAAGGTGTTCAAGCTTTTGAAGACAGCCCACTGTACCCAAAATGATATTCTAGATTGGGAAGGCAATCTGGTGGGTGGCATAATTCTCTGGTTTTCCCTGTCTCCAGTGGCAGCATCCTGTATCTCCACCAGTTCCTATAACACCAAACCAAAGCTGTTACTCCCTCACAGTGTTTAAAAATGGACGTCTTACTTGGGTGGTCTGCACTCTGGGCCTGAACGCCTGCATCCCCAGAACATAAAATCCACTTGTTCAATTCTCTTCTCTAGGCAAAATAATTATATCACTACTTCTGTTGACTTCTCACACAACCTTTTCAGGCCAAACCTCATGTGTTTTTTTGTTTTAACTTAGCTCTGGTACTAAAACTATGCTTACCAATATCATCTATTTCGGATTTGGCCAGCCTGATAAAGTTCAAACCATCAAAAGTTCATTTCAAGCTGCTGAACCTGCTGTTGTATATGCAATTTACAGTATAGCAAAAATCTAACTTAATTCATACATACATGAAGTCATGAGGACAGTCATCTGGAGAAGGTAAATATGAAGTGATTGCATCCAGAAGAGGTTGGACTCCTTTATTCTTTAGGGAACTGCCACAAAGCACTGGAACCGCAGAGCGAGCTAGAGTGATCCTCCGTACCGCAGACTGTAACTGTACAATACACGGGGTGTTAGCCAAGCCAAGTCATTTCAATACCTTCACTGTTATACAAATCATATGACTTCTAACAAAAGGATCCACACACATTTAATTAGTTGGATGGGTCATCTTTCTAAACAACATTTAATGAAAATGATGTAATGATAGATTATTCCTAGGCCTAATTTCACAAGCACTGGTGGTTCAGTAGCTAATAACATTTTCATACAATTATTCTATTCTTTTTATTGTTTTTTGTATGTATAAGCTGTATATGTTTTTGACAGAGAAAGAAAAAATAAGACATATTAGCCACTGCATCGACCGATTACTCATTGCGCCGCATAGCTTGTAGGTACCAGTTATCCCAGTTTATATTCTTTAAGTAGGTAGGGTACATTATATCCAAAGCTGAATTAGGTGTGTACACAACCAAAGTAATTTCCCAGTTCCTGTGGAACAAGTCATTGAAGGTATTTCATCAATAGTTAGCAGCTTAATAAGATGAACACAAGTTACCTTTTCCAGAGGTATAACATTTAAATCCCCACTGTACTCTTCCAGCATCAGTGAAGCAAACTCATCATCCAGATCAGCCATCTGCATATAGAAAAGAAAATGGCCAAATTTGACTATTGGAATGTAAATGCCCATGAAAGAACAACATACAATACAAACAACCTCTCTTTACATCTGCTGTGCCATGTACTTTGTTATATAGACAAATCCAGAATAGATTAAAAAGGAGAACTATGAGGTGAGTGAAAATCACTCACGTCGGCTCAATAGATCGGGAAGTGAGCGAACCTATACCGTCGCTTGATCACTTCTCGATCATGTCCCTGCAGAGTGGTGACTGTCAGTCACGGCTCCCCGCGGGGATTCCCCCCCTCCTCTCTGATCCTCCAAGTGCTGATTGGAGGAGCGGATGGGGGAGGGGGCGGGCACAGCTGGCTCTGTCTCTCACGCAGCTGTTTGGATCTCTACAGCATTGTCGGGATCTGTCTCGGCTACGGCAGTCTCAGTATACCGTGAGCTGTAGCTCGCTATATACTGAGCTTTGGGTCACGGGAGGACGCTAGTATATGTCCTCCCGTGACCCTTAAGAGAACTATGAGGAAAAAAACCACTTACCCCATAGTTCTCTTTTAATCTAAAATGTGATAACATCAGACATAATGATAGGGACTTCTACACATGGATGCTTTCTCTGTTTGGTTGGGATAAACAGACCTTTGCTGTTCCTTTTGCTACTCCATCTAACAAAACCTGTGCATTGAGGTTCTTTATTTAAGCTCCTTATTGCTCCCTCTCTCATGTCACAGATCTCTAACAAACCCTACATTGCAGCTGTACAAAAATTAATTTTACCTTGAGAAGTCAGATGTGCTGAGCGCGTTTGTGTGCTTTTGGTCTGCCTGGATACAATGACCATCTCTCCTTTCCGGAGTGTCTGCAATTATTATTGGAACAAGAAACGCACTACCTAAACCGTATCTAAACCGAAAAACAGAATGCAATAAATTACAACTAATGAGTCCTTAGATGTGGAGGCTGCATACGTTTCCTTTTCAGGAGATGCAAATACACAAAATACCCGTTAATCTTTCCAAAAACGCTGTCCTTGTCACTTCCTGTAAGCTGAAGAGAAAACACCAACAACAGCCTACTAAACCCATCAACCCACCATGTAATAGAAATGAAAAAGCCAGACATGCTTGAAGTCCAGCCTTCCATAGACACAGTGTAAAAATTAGTGTAGCCACAAACAGTCAGGAAATGTATTATTTGCAGGATCACCAGGTGAAAATAAAAGTTAAAAAAAAACCTGAAAAGAGAAAATGAATGCAGTCACCACATCTATGGACTGGTAAGTTACTATATATTACATTTTTGTTTTTGAGTTTACGTACACTTTAAAGACCATGAAAGCTAGTGACCCTTATTAGACTATGTTTTACCTAAGAATGAATGTAACTGTTTTGTTGTATTGGGGATCTCTTTGCTCTGTACATTTGATCATACTTTGAAAATGTAAAAATAGGTCAAACTAAAATGTTGCAGTGGGCATAAAATTATGAAAAGCAACGAGAAATACATTTTCTAACTAAGAATAAGAAGCAAGAAACAAATGTATCACCAATACCTTCAGTGATAAGTTAAATGGAATTATATTTATGTTATTTCATTTCAAATTCCCCACAGGCTCTCGTGTCAGTACTGGAATGTCACATATGCTAAGACGAACTACCGTGTTTCCCCGAAAATAAGACAGTGTCTTATTTATTTTTTTTCACGAAAAAAGACACTAGGTCTTATTTTCGGGTGATGTCTTACCTGGCTGCAGCTGTCCGCTCTGCCGTCCAGGAAGCCACAAACAGGTGGGCGGGCATGCGTGCGGCCGTGGCTGGCAGGGGGCGGGAGGGAGCTGTGTCTCCGCTCTGAACCATTAGAGAAACAGATGAGGGGGCGGGCATGCGTGCAGCCGGGGGGCGTGTCTGCAGGGGGGCGGGAGGGAGCTGCCTCTCCGCTCTGATGCCATCCAGAGAGCCACAGATAGTTGGGCGTGCGGGTAGGTGGGCGGGCGAGGGGATGGGAGGGAGCTGCGGCCGGTCTTCACATGTAAAATTTAATTACATGTGCAGCTACCCAGAAGGTAAGACCTAGCGATATCTTCAGGGATGTCTGTAATATAAGACCTACCACCGAACTAGGTCTTATTTTCGGTGTAGGTCTTATATTACAGAAATCCCCGAAGATAGCGCTAGGTCTTATTTTCGGGGTAGGTCTTACTTTCGGGGAAACACGGTATCTAAAACTTACACCTACAATTGCTATCTCCAGTTGAGTATTTACTTTAAAACTTTACTTGTTCTAGTAAGGCATTTCTTGCTTCTGTGGCAGAGTTCAGCAGATCCTTGTCCTTTATGTCTTTCAGAGGTTTCCTCTCAAATACTCTCCCACCATCCTCACTGGATCGCACGCTCCAGCAGATTGACTCCATACTCAATAAATCCACCAGACCTTGGAATGATTTGCCCTCCCCTATAGGAAGCTTAGCACAAGAAAGTGATTATTACATAATGAAAAGATATGTTATTTTTCTTTATTTCGTAAATGTTTAGATGTAGGCCTCATTCAGACGGGGCGTATACAACCGTGCGGCATGCACGCCCGTAAAACCGGCTGATCCCGGGAGGGACAGGTGCTGCATGTGATTGCATGCAGCAGCCTGTTCTTCCCTATGGGAGGACGTGGTTGTATGCTGTCATACGCACACCCGAACTTGCACATCCGTACGGGTCCAGGTGTCCGCACTTGGATGCAGACAGTCACCAGTGTTAACATCGATAATCAATTTAGGTTGAACTCGATGGACGTATGACTTTTTTCAACCTGACTATGTAACAATATTTATTCAAACTGATTATCGATGTTAACACTGGTGACTGTCTGCATCCATCTTTACCCAGTAAAGGCAGTCAGCTCATTTACTTAGATCAGACTATTCATCCAGAATTGGATGATTTAATATTGATTTGCAGAGTTAGAACAACAAAAGGGATAATACAGGAATATTCTGATCCAAGTAAATGAGCCGAGGGCCTTTATTGGGTAAAAATGGATTATGTTTAGCCCTCTAAAATAAACAAACTATAGTTTCCTTTTAAAGTCAGAAGATGAGAACTTGGAGGGAAAAAAAATTGAAGAATCTAAGAGCAGAAGATGAAAAAAGTAGCACATTTAATACAATTCTGTTAGAATAATTTGCCAATGCAAATTATGATATATTCCACAAAAGAGAAATGATGCGTCACCAACTTACCTGCAACAGCAAAGGGTTGGCTTTAAGTTTTTGTTTGATGCTTTCAACAGAGTAGGAAAAACTAAGAAAGAAATATATATTTTATTTAATATAACCACCTTTATTGTAGCCAGATATAACATAAGAGAAATCAACACACCGCTAACCAAAAGCTAAACCAAAAGTCCCCTCTCATATAAGCTAATAAGTGATACCAGCATATGCGAAGCGGTCCTGTACTAACACTGCGGTGGTAGGTCAATAAGCAAATTAAACTGTAAGGAAATATAACAGAAATGGCTCACATATAAAAAACCTATTATATGCGTCCTTGAGGATCCTATCCCTAGATATGAACTCTTCCAAAGATATAAAAAATAACTCATTGATCATAAATTATCAATTAATTAAAAATTTTAGGAATAAAAAAGGTAGAAGAGGTTTATATCTGCTTGAGGTCCCCAAAACCCACAAAAGGTAAGAAAAATGTGGACACTGCATGGGAGGAACAATTTCAGTGAGCGGCAGTGTGGAAAGGTGCATTCTTCAAGGTGTGGCTTTTATCATTTAGGCAGAAGAAAGGTACACGAGAGGACTGGACACGTTGACAGGTAAAATTACAACACTTTAAAAGAAAACAAACTGTAAAACCACAGACAAGATGTAAATACAATCCAGTTGACCGAAAACACATACTTGTATGAAGTACCTGGCATTAGCTTTGTCCATCTTATTCAGAAAACATATTCTTGGCACAGAATGTTTGTCTGCTTGTCGCCACACAGTCAGGGTTTGAGCCTGCAAAGTAAAAACATTGGATAGTCTAAGCTGCAGCTGCTGCATCTATTTTGCAGCTTTGATGCAAATTCCTACCATCCAATCATCAGCTAACTACATGGGTGCCTTGCTTCATATCATTTTATAGAAGAGAGATCTGTGTCATCAAGAAAACATGCAGGGCCATTCTTGAGCCACCAAGGACAGCAGAGAACATAGACAAATGGTTTCATGCATATAAAATGATGCCAAGGTATTTTAGAAATGCACTTTTACCTGGAGATTTTTAGATTTAACATTACACAGGCCAAAAGGACCTGAACATTTGTATAGCATGTATGTAGTCGATTTTAACAACCAAAGGATTAGTCATTCTGTTCAGCTAGCCATCCAGGCAGCACAGCCAGGCCAGGGGTCTTAGTTATTTCCAATGCAGAGTCAGTAGTAAAGGGCATGGCCTCTATTTGCACTTGTGTAAGCTCCATTACCACCACCTAGAGACTATGGGAGGCTGCTCCAGCCTTAGGAAAGCCCTGCACCTGCAACTCAATTAGGAGCCCCCAGAGAATTTTCTGCTTTTTTGAAAACAAGCACCTCCAGCACTCCAAGACCTGATCTCAGGCACAGCCTTGCCTTCACATTAGAGATCTCAGTGCCTGTAAATTCATGGAACCAAACAATATGGTTTACAAACTTCAGGAAATCCAACATAGATGACCCAGAAACAAAGTCTACACTGCAATGCTTTCCTCTGCTCGGACACTATACAGCAGAGGCAGGAGCCAGTTCCCTGGTAGATAGGAGCATCAATCTCTCAATCTAGGTAGTCACGAGGAAGGTTGTGAAATGGAACATTGTGATTTCAAGATGGCAAGCTGCTGGTACTTGCTCAAAATATACATGAGGGTCGCCTATATATTGAGAAACCGATGTACATGAAAGATAAAACAAGCAGGTAAGTTCCATAATTCTCTTACCTCTACACCAGCTGAAGCATCAAACACAGCAACGGCTCCATCCAGCACCCTCAGCGAACGTTCCACCTCTACAGTGAAATCCACATGTCCTGCAAGAAGGCAAAGCAAGCAAAAGTGCTTAAAAACACCTATCCTGACAGATGCATGTAAGCTGCTGGCACTGGTCTCTTCTTCCAAGAATGCTTAAAGTGATATTAAAGTCATTGATGTTTAAAAGTTTTAGTTTCCTGCAGAATCAGCTGGTCCCCTGAGCACTGGTCCTGATATCCTGTTTTAGGGCTTGTTCACACCATGTACAGACCAGATCTGCAAACGCAGTTCATTTTTGATGCATTTTTTGATGGGGCTATTTTTAGCTTAAAATTGGCTTTCAGGTGGAGTCCTGTGCATTTGCAAGCATTTTATGTGTTTACATGCGTTCTAATGCGTTTCAGACCAGAAAAAATAGTGCAGCACTTTTTTCACTGGTGTGAACAGAGCCCAGAAATACCAAAGCAGAATACATTGGGATCCATTTCACGTGTGGACAAAAACTGTTCTGGTCCAGGCATGGTGTGAACAAGCCCTTAGGGTGACTCCTTTCTCAAGCACAGTGCTGTGCAGTCACCCTTGAGAGCGCTAGTAAGCTGTGTGCAAATCAAGCTACTCCCCCGCTCTTCTCCTCCCTTCCCCAAGCTAGTAGATGAACAGTTGCTGGAGTCTGCTCTGTCCTTTGTTACCTAGTACTGGACAGGAAGTTCAATGAAGCGGAGAGACTTGGAAGCAGCTGTTCAGAAACATGATTGTATGTATTTGGGCAAAAAAGTAAAGCAATGCTTTACTGGGCAATGTATATTTGTTTGATCTGGAGTCATTATTGAAAAAAGTTTTAGGGTTGAATACTTTGTTAATGTTTGGTTGCCATGCGGAGCCCGTGGCTTCAGTAATTTCACTAACTCTGCCAAAATATGCACATCAGGAGTTTTAACTTGACTATGATTTTTCCTGATTTCATGCTTATTACTGAACAGCAACCCATGAGATCTCATAGCCAGAGACCATACTGCAACGTAAAATTTCAAAAGGATGTCAGCAATGGCGTCCGCTAAACCCCTCTTGTGGCAGGCTTCCTATGTTTACCTATTTGATTGATCTATGCCTTTTATCTATGGTTTCAACTGTGCTACTAAAATGCAGGGAAATGGATAGAACTATATTAGAGAAGGTGTGGTTGGTATTTTGTATAGTATAATAATAATAATATTAATATTAACAGACATTGCAGACATGCTTGTCATCTGAAAGCTCTGCATTTTCTTTGAGTCTGGAGCTGTTGCTAACAGTACTCTCCTGAAGGAATATTTCTTCAAGGGCAGATTCACACCATGTCTATTAAGCTGCGTTGGGCCCAATGCAATGACAAGCTGAAATCCATTGTTTCCAATAGGCCCAGTTCCCATCAACACACTGTGTTGATGTGCGCTGGATGAAAATGGAATGCTGCATTTAAACACAGTGCAACATTCTGGAATGCACCACGACACAAGTTAAAGTGAGCAAAATATGATTTTAACTGTATTGATTTTCTTTTAATGTGCATTTGTTTCCACAGCAGAAACCACAATATTATATGTCAGTGCATGTCAACTAAAGCATCAACGCCCTGAATGCAATGCACGTGGTGCGACTCCAGCCTTAAAAATACCGCAAGATTACCTGGTGTGTCAATCAAATTGATCCTGTGCCCATTCCAGTCCAATGTGACAGCTGCTGATTGAATAGTGATCCCACGCTCTCTTTCCTGTGCCATGTAGTCTGTCACTGTATCCCCATCATCAACATCTGCAACAAAACAGTCTAATTAATAAGACCACTGGCTAAGCTCCAGGGTTTCACAAAAACACTGAACACGCTTTTGTAAAAAAAATGAAGGTTGCTGTAAAATAAAGACAGAGCTTTAGGTAAAATACGATTTGCAGTATCAACAATTTATAGCGCCTTATAATAAATGTCCCTCACCTCCCAGTGCTCGAATGTATCCAGAATAATACAACATTCTCTCAGTAGTTGTGGTTTTCCCGGCATCAATATGAGCCATGATTCCTATGTTTCTGATCCTATATGAAACAAATGGTAGAATTAAAAAGATAAAGTGCATCTGTAACCCTTATACAGAAAAAAAAAAAAAAAAAAGACGTTTTTTTTTTTTTTTTTCAACTCTTATTTCC